CATATTATCAGAAGCATTGCGCAGCCAGTCAAACCCAGCTGGAAAAGGCGCCTGTCTCCTCCTTCCCTTCTTTATCGTTCCTCTCTGGCGTCCTCCCGCTCCCTCTCGCACATCCTCATTGATTATTGTTCCCCACGAGGCGTGGCTGGCTGGAGTCTTCTAGTTGTAGAAGCTAGTTCTAGCCGCGGGACCAGCGAGCGCACAGAGACGTGCTCAAAATGAGGAGGTTGTCTGTCCATTTTCGCCTGACTCATTCTAGTAACGCTGGGCTCACGCATGCCCAGATCTGAGATGTTCCGGCCGGTTTTGCCTGCCATATCCTTGCAAGTCTGGGCTTGGAGATGCCGCCCACGAGGTGGTCCGTTCTCGCAACCTTGGTCTCAGAGATGCCCTGACCTCAGGTGGTCCGAGAGAAGAGAGCCACTGGCGACCCCCAATACAAGGACAAGGCCTTTCCCCCGCACGTGGGATTGTCGAGGGGATTGTCCAGGGGGTTGTCAACCGTGTTGTCCGGGGGTTGTCCAGGCGCAATCCTACCTAAGCCCTCTCTTGGGCCTCCTCATTCTTCAGCCTTCAGCCTTCTCCCCATTCCCCACCGTCCTGCCACTTTCCCCTGCGACATCCTCGAGATTGTTATCTCGGGGATGGCATGTCCTGTTCTGAGGTTGTCCAGCCAATCAGCCAATTTCGCCTGAGACATCCCCGAAGCTATGGCTTCTGAGATGCTGCGCGTGAGGTTGTCCAGCCAGTTTTGCCTGAGACAGCCTCGCAACTCTGCGCACAAAGATGCCCTGACTCAAGGATGAGCAGACGCAGGACTTCGACGGAATCGGGGGGAAGGTGGCGAATGGTGCTGTCGTTGGAGCGTCGGCCATATCCCTGAACGGGAGTGGTGCTGTCGCCTGAGCGGTGACTACACTCTCGACTGAGAAGTGAGCTGTCGCCCGAGCACTGGATGCTGCTCTCGCCTGAGCGCCAGCCACATCCCTGATTGAAGAAGATGCTCTCTCCAGTGCGCTGGCCACGTCCCTGGTAGGGAACGGTGTTCTCGCTCAAGCGTTGGCCACACTTACATGCTAGATGAAGGTATCTTGGAATACCTGCCGGAGGGCTGTTGGAGGCATCTGGCGGGTTTCTTGGAGGCTTCTTGTGACCTCTTGGGGGCCTTTTGGGGGCCTCGGGGCTTCTGAGGGGCTCATGGGCCCATCCTGGAGGAAAAGGCTAGGAATATCAGCTCGTAATCCCTACATTGGGCCCCTCGTAAGGTTTTCGTGGAGCTCACTCGGGCCATCTAGTGGGCTCCTTACGCCGTCTTGGGGTCGCCTTGGCCACCTCTTGGGCTGTCTCCTCATCGGCCGTCTTGGGACGATACTGGGGACCCTTCGACCGTCTTGAGCGCTGTGGAGACAAAAATGAGGAGTTTGCTAAAGTATAACGCAAGAGTGCTAAAGGGACGTTTCTTTGCCACTTGGGGCTCTCGGCGGCCCACCGTCACGAAGCCATGTAGGACTGTCGTAGGGCCATTTTCGGCCATCGCGATTTGATGTGGAGTGTCTTGGCGCCTGGTTTGGGTCTTGTTGTTGGGCTGGTGAGGTTCCGGAGCCGCCAAAGCTGCGGTTTGGAGCTCCAAGCTCCCGCCCCCCCCCCTCAAGCGCAGTCAATTTTGGGCTCCTGGGGACGGGGAGAGGGGGAGGGGGACAGACACATATCTTACATGCTTTTGCACCCCCGGCAAACGGGGGTCGGCGCATTGCTAATCAGGGTAGGGGGAGGGCGCGGGAGCGGATGGAGGAGGAGGGGGAAAAGGGTAGAGGAGGACAAGGGGGAGGAGGAGGAGCAGGAGCTGAGGAGGAGGAGGAGGAGGAGGAGGAGCAGGAGGAGGAGGAGGGAGGAGGAGGAGGAGCAGGAGGAGAGGGAGGAGGCACGAAGCCGCAGTTGAGCACCCGCGCGGCGTTGGCCGAGGTTCACGGGATGCACGGTTCTCTCCAGGGCTGTAGGCGACCCGAGGAGAAGGAGGAGGAGAGGAGGAGGAGCAGGAGGAGGGGGAGGGGGAGGGGAGGGGAGGAGGAGGAGAGGAGGAGGAGGAGGAGGTGGAGGAGTGCGGAGAGGAGGAGGAGCAGGAGGAGGGGGAGGGGGAGGAGCAGGAGGAGGAGGAGGAGGAGGAGGAGGAGGAGGAGGCAGGAGGACGAGGAGGAGGAGGAGGAGGGGGAGGTCCTCCTCCTCCTCCTCTCCTCCTCCTCTCCTCCTCCTCCTCCTCTCCTTTCTTTCCTTCTCCTCCTCCCGGATAAGACCGTGCATCTTGTGGACTTCGGCCAACGTCCGCGAGGGTGCTCGACTGCGGCTTCGCGCCCTTTCGGCTGCAGTCGACGTCCGCCCGACTCCAGCGTCGCGATTTGTTCACAACATGGCCTCCCGGAGGTCTGGACCTCTGCCTCCAGACCGCAGTTCCATCTTGACTCGTCCTTGTTGGCAGCCCCGAGGCGCCTTGGTGACATAATAATCGAAGAACACCATCATCGTAACACACAAACGTTCGGAGCTCCGCGCGGATCTCTTGGATCGGCGCTGGATCCCGCTCCCTGGCGCCCGGAGCTTGCCAGGGGGGACTCCGGTGGCGCCGCCAAGGGGTGCCCAGGGCCGACCCAAGCAATCAATCCGCGCCTGGACAGGTTTTTCATCTCGAGCCGTTTTGAGGTTGTGGTTTGTTGAATCCAGGCACATTTACTTGCATGGCGTTCCCCCGCTTCCCCTCGCCTCTCCGCCACCGTGTCCAACCGCGCTGGGTATGCACGGCGTGCAAGTGAGTTCTGACCTGCGTTAAGCCCGGGCTCTCCTCCCAGATTTCTTCTCGGGCCTCACCATACGCCCCCTCCCCCCTCGTCCTCCTCCTCATCCTTCTCCTCCTCCTCCTCCGCCTCTTTTTCCTCCTCCTCCTCCTCCTCCTCCTCCTCCTCCTCCTCCTCCTCCTCCTCCTCCTCCTCCTCCTCCTCCTCCTCCCCCCCTCCACGCAAGACACTTCGCAGGAGTCAAGGGAAAGCTGCCTCCCTTTCACGGTCTCTGGTCCCCGGTTAGGGCTCCCAGAGGCCGACGAGGGCCCCAGAGCCCTGCGCCGCGAGATGCCTCCACCCCGGGAGGGGGTCTGCACTCGCCCCAGCCCCCCCCCCCCCCCACCAGAAGGGGCGAGGCCAGCCTGCCTCTCGCAGCCGCCGCCCTCGCCCACGCCGGCGCGGCGGCAACACAGCCTGGCCCCATTCTGGAGGTAAGTCGGGCATGTCCCCCTACATGAGAAATTTGCTAGACTGGTAGAAAATTGTCTGGAGACGATGTGTTCGTCCTTTATGTGGGAACTATGTTTGCTTATGCTTTTACTATTTCGAATTATTCTTCTAAGATCCGCCTGTAGGAGGACATGCCCGATTTACCTCTGGAGGCCGCGTTCTGTTTTGATGACTCAGGCAAGTTTACTTGTACGGCAATCCCCCCCGCCCTCCCTTACCCCCCCCTCTCCGCCGCCTGTTCCAACAGCCCCGGACTGGAGAGGCGTGCAGGGGAGACCCGCCTTGCGTGAAGTTCCTGCTTCGCTTCGGGCCTCACCACGCCCCCCCCTCCCTCTCGGAAGCCTAGCGAAGGATGGCAAACCCGTGGCTGCTAAAACGGAGTTCCTGGATGTTTTTGTTTAGATCTTCCGGGAAGCAGCCCGTTTGTTTTGTCAGTGCGCCGAGTTTTATTCCGGGAATGTTGTTTGTTTCCTTCTGGGAGGACCGTTTTAGCAGCCACGGGTTTGCCAGCCCTCGCCCAGCGGCCGATCCTCTCCACCCCCCCGGTTAGGAGGATGACGAGGAGGATTTTACGAACTACGAACATGTGTTGATGTTCGTGACGCAACATCGATGAAGATGGGTAGGAGAAGGACGCAGCGGACGATGACTAAGAGTACGTCGAGGAGGAGCAGGAGGGGGATGCAGAAGGGGCGAATATGAGGATGAGCTAGAGCTGGAGGACGAACCAAACGAGCCATAGCCGCCCGAGGAGAAAGCTCGGGGAGGAGATCCCGTGGAGGTGGGGCGAAGAATCTTGGAGGAAGGAGGGGAAGCATAACGGGCACGACAGGTCGCATATTGCCAGCACGCTCCAGTTTCCCCAATATTCTTGTCGCCAGTCACGGGGTCGACTTGATCGCGTCTGCATAGCCCTTCAGGAAAAGTGGGAACAGGCGCGCTGGAAAAGCGCCGCAGCGTGTAGCGTAAATCTCCCTCTCTTCTTCCACCTCCCCCACCATGCCCTGCTTTCATCACAGTCGTCGTCGTCGTCGTCCTTCTGCTCGTCATCATCCTTATCCATCCCCACGCAGTCGGTATCATCGTCCTCCTTGTCCTCATCGTCATCGTCCTCCCCATCCCCCCATCGTGACTCCGCTGGCACGCAATGCAGGTGGTACCAGCATGACTCTTGAACGGACGGGTGTTGCAGCATCGCGACCAGATGGGGGTGTTGCTTCTGCTAGCCGGCGAGGGAATGAAGGGGGATATGGAGGCGGGACAAAAGGAGGAGGACGAGGGAGGAGAGAGCTTCCTGCCCCACGGCGGCTTCGCATAGAGAGCGTGCCGGGTTGCAATCTGGCCGTGCCTGAGCGCGAGCCTGAGTTTGCGCACCGAGTCCATGGGACCAGCGACCAGCACGCCAGACGAGGAACAGCATGGGTAACATGCCGCGAGGGCGTGGAGGCGCACCGTCGAGCGGTCGAGGAGGGCGGGGAGCAGAGGAGAGCGAGGTGGGGCAGCGGCAGTTGGCCTTCGGAGCGGCCAGCTCGTCGCGCACGGCTGGACGCGGCTCGGAAGACTGGTGCGCCAAAGAGCTCGGAGCCGTCCAATGACGCCCGCATTCAAAAGCCAGCAGCGTTCAGGTACTCGGACAAGCAAAGCTTGCGTGGAATGAGCTTGGGCATCTTGGCAAGCATTTCATCATGAGGGAATGGGGGGGATCCGCAGCCCTCGGCTCAAGTTGTTCGTCGAGCCAGGGCCGCATTTTAGATCGTAATCATGCAGGTCGAAGCTCTGATTGTTGGGGGCGGCCCAGTCGGACTGCTTTTGGCTTGTGGATTACTGAAGAGAGGGTTGAAGGTTCTGGTTGTGGAACAGAGCCCTGCAGTGTCTGAAGACTGGTCTACTGCCTACAGTTACGGGGTCGACTGTCGTGGCATAGTCTTGGTGAACTTGGTCTGCTCGAAGGCTTGGAGTCTGTTGCTGTCCCGTCCCGAGGGTTTTCTAGGACAGAGTGGCAACCTGACGGTACATTCAAACATGCGACATCACGAGCCGCAGTGTCGCTTGGATATTGGATCCAAAGGCCGATTTTGGTGAAGCCATTGGAGAAGTGTCTGCCATCGGGAGTTCTGTTCGGAGGCATCCTCCTGCACTTCGAGTTTGGAAGGCGAGCAGTGGCAACCGTGCAAGTTGGCAGCACAACCACCACGATCAGCTCCCGGTAGGTTTTCGGTTGCGATGGACGTCGCAGCAGAGTACGGGAGCACCTGCAAGCCCAAAACGAGAGGTTCCGGCGGGACTTCACGCCGCATGTACCGCATGGGCCTCGTATACAAAGCTGTGTTGTGCACGCCACCTGGGCATTTCGACAACAGATTGATGTACGTGTTGAAAGGTAAGTCTGGTCGCACACTTGCGCTCCTGCCATTTGCAGGGAAGCCTGGAGATCCACGCCCAGTTTCCTTCGCGCAAGCTCCTGGCCACCCCTTCCGTGGCTTTAAGACAGCAGAATAGCTTTACAGCAGTTTGGAGGAGGACTTCCCCCAAATGGAAGCCCGCGAGCGCCTGTCTCCTGGCTCAGCATCCGCATGGTGCACTGGTGAAGGCACCACTTTTCCGCATGCGCGCTGGTGCAGTCGTGCATCTGCCTGGGTCGCAGACTGCGGGGTCGCGCTGTTAGGAGACTCCCTTCACTGCTTCCCCCCTGATCTTGGGCAGGGCGTCAATGCCGGACTCAGCGACGTCTCCAGCTTGCTTGCCCTTTGGCCGCAGGATGCCAGCAGCCCTGAATCGATTCAGAGGGCACTGGAGGCTTACCATGACCAACAGGCGCCAGAAGCAGAGGCGATCTGCCGCCTCATTCCCATCGGCATGCCTTACCAGTATAACCTTCCACAGTCCTTTGCAAAGTTCGCCTTCTTCGGCTACCTGCTCACCCGCGTCTTAGCTAATATGCTGATGCCCTCGTTCATCACCCCGCCCGTAGTGTTCCAGGTGACAACGGCGCCTCCTCTGAGGTACACGCACATCTTGGAGTGCCATCGTGCGAACACACACCGGCTGCTTGTTGTGGCTGCCGTGACCCTCTCCTCCATCATGGGCTCATTGATGATGAGGAGGCGTCGAGCGTGAGTTCGCATCTGGACTCTCTACGCGTTGCTTGGTTCAGTACTCAACCAAGACAGCTCTTGGAACAGACGCTGACCAGTTTTTCTCCAGTCGTCAGGTGTTGTGACGCAGCGCTATTGTTGGATGCCATTTCCGCCTGGATGCCGCGTCTTGTTCTGACTCACCTGCTCTGGCCACACCAAGTACTTGCGAATCGCCTGGGCAAGGCAATCATGTGCACGATGAGAGTGGATGTGCACCGATAGTCGACGCTGTCGAACGCGAAGGCGGGGTAGCTCAAAATCGAATGATCTCATCGTCGTATTACTCCTTCCCTCCAGACAGGCCCGTTCTTGCGGCCCACGGAAGCGGGATGGGAAAGGCAGGCGAACAAGGACTGAGGAGACGTTTAGGGATTGGGATTTGGCGGGTGGGGGCTGGACTGGGAGAGAGGGGGACGACATCGGCTGCATGCAGCTGGCCTCGTCGCCGCAGCCGGGCGACCTCCTCGATTCAGCGGCGCCTCTGACGCCGGGGAAGTTAGCTACGTAAGCTGTTTCGCTAACCCCGCCGTTCGTCCGACCCGCCCGGGAAGAGACGGCCAGCGTGGGAACCGCGCGTATTTGTACATTGAGGTATTTGGGGGTCCGCGCCCCTCATCGCTTCAGGCGTCGCGCGCAGGGGACGTCGGAGGGTCATTGGTCATGGCGCTCGTGAGACGAGGGCATGGCGCTGCTTGACGAGCGAGCAACCCACACCCATCCTCACAGGGGAGTCGCAGGGAGGGTGCCCGGCGATGGGTATGGGTGCGGGTTGTCGGACCCCTGGGGAGGTTCCAGTTCGAGCGGGGAACCCCATCCGACAAAACGCACCCATAGCCCCCTCCGTCGCCCCTATGGGTATGGGTGTGATTGTTCGTTCGTCAGCTCTTGCATCCGCTTGCACACCGGGCGTTCCTGCGAGGGCAGCCTGGTGATAGTGCTGACGGCCTCCAAGCGGCAAGGCTGGCAGAAACGCTCTTGCACCATTCGGTGTCGGTGTTTGGTGTGTGAGTGTTCCGATGTTTCGAGTTCCAGCGCACCCGCAGAATGCGATCACTGTCATCCAACACGCTCTCCATCAATCGCACGTTCCCCAACCTAAAAAGCAGCCCGTTGCCTTCCTGGACTCGTGGGGTGCAGTGGGATCCACGGGAGGGGAGACGAGATGACAAGGACAGAGGTTGGCAATGCATCCCCCTCTCATGCAGTCTCGAGCCTTGCGCCAGAATGTGCGCGCGTGCCTGTACGCAGTGGCGGCACTGGTTCGGGGCTATGTCTTCGGGAGGGGGACTCCCCGCATACCCACATGTGTAGCCTTGAAGTACGGCCATCTCCCCCGCCCTCGTTTCCTGGAAATCATGCCCTGGACCAGGGTTCGACCTAAATGGTGTCTGGGCGATTCCCCAGGCCGTTTTCGTTTCGACTTCGATGCACAAGAGAGGCGGAGCGAAGGCAGAACGAGGGAAGTCAGACACAACATGAAAACAACAACACTGTGTGGGCCGATCCTTGCCAAGGTCAGGAATCCTGGAAAGTAGCGGGGGATGCGCGCCCCCGAAGCGCACCCTCTCGTATTACTACAGAAGCGCTCGTTACCGAGGCCACCATCCCTCAGTCATTGTCACGCATGCGCGCAACCAGCCAGCTAGCGACCTGCCACAGCCAACAGCCAACCATTCATCTAAGCAACAGGCCGCTTCTGCTGAGATGCCAGCCAGCCATCCAACAAGCCAGCAGACGGGCCAGCCGAACATGCCTAGCCATGCAGGCAATAGAGAATGAGAACTGGGCGTCGTGATGATGATGCTGATGCTGATGATGATGATGATGATGATGATGATGATGATGATGATGATGATGCTAATGATGATGATGATGATGATGATGATGATGATGATGATGATCATCATGATGATGATGCTGATGATGACAAGGAGCAGGAGGAGGAGGAGGAGGAGGACGAGGAGGAGGAGGAGGGTGGTAACGACGTAGGGGAGGAGCAGGAGGAAGGGGATGCGGACGATCATGAGCAGGAGCAGGGAGAAGGAGGGGGAGAAGGACAAGTTAGGTGCGTTCGCATCAACATCTGACATCCTACCCCTCCCTCCCATCCCTTACCATGGCGCTGATTTTCTCTATCCGCGGACGCGTGTCGTAGCGGACCTGTGGCTCCGCGCGCGTGTGCGTAGTGGGTGGTGGTGCGCTTGCGTGCGTGCGTGTGTGCGTGGTTGTGGTTGTTGTGGTGGTGGTGTGTATGTGTGTGTGTGTGTGTGTGCGTGTGTGCGCGTGTGCTGTGGTGTGACGTGGTGTGGCGTCTTGGGGGTTTGGTGGTGGGCCAGGTGCGTACGTGCCTGATGGCGGTGGTGGTGGTGGCGGTGGTGGTGTGTGTGTGTGTGTGTGTGTGTCTGTGTGTGTGTGCGTGTGTGTGTGCGTGCGTGTGTGTGTGTGTGTGTGTGTTTGTGTGTGTGTGTGTGTGTGTGTGTGTGCGTGCGTGCGTGCGTGCGTGCGTGCGTGTGTGTCTGTGTGTGCGCGCGTGAGATGTGGTGTGACGCGGTGTAGCGTGGTGGTGGTGGGTGGGGTAGTGCGGTGATTGTGGCGGTGCGCGGTGGTGGTGCGCGTGCGTGCGTGCGTGCGATGGTGGGTGGAAGTGGCGGTGGGTGTGCGTGCGGCGGGGCGGGGCGTGGTGCGGCGCGGTGGTGGCGGGCAGATGGGCGCGCGAGAAAGAGGCCCGCGCTGGGGCGAGAACGCCATCCTGAACGACGGAGGCAAAACACCGATCCGAAAATGAGGCCCACGCTGCAGCGGGAGCACGATTCGGAACGATTCGGGAGCAGAAATGAGGCCAGCGCCTCAGCGAGAGCAGCATTTTGACAAAAAAGCAATCAAACAAAAACGCAAGCGAAAACCCACATCCCGGGAATCCTGTGTGTAAAAAAATACGCGGGGGGGGTCTACTACTCCCAGCGCGCCACCAGGGGAAGAGGGAGAGTAGTATTCATATTGAGTAATTGTTGAGGAGGAGGAGGAAGAGGAGGAGGAGGATGAGGAGGAGGAGGACGGGGGGGGGAAACAAGGAAGCAAAGGAGTGCGGGGTTGAAGGGGGGGAGCGGCTGAGGCCGGAGCGGGCTCACGAGGCAGGAGGGCGGCACACCACGGGCGAGAGGGCCGAGGCGCCGCGACGCGAAGAGGGTCGCGTGCCGCGGGCCCGCGCCGCCCGCCGGTCTGTCGCGCCGTGGCAGCCCCCCCCCGCCGCACACGCACGCCGCCTGCGCGCGGGGGCGGCCTCATGGCATGCGCGGCGGGCCGCCGCCGTCCAGCGGGCGCTTGGCAGTCGTCGAGGAGGAAGAGGGCGAGGCGGAGGGCGAGGAGCCTCGGGCGAGGGGCCCAGGGAACAGAGGCATTCCCCTCCTCCTCCTCCTCCTTCTCCTCCTCCTCCTCTTCCTGCTCCTCCCCCTCCTCCTCCATCTCCTCTCCTCCTCCTCCTCCTCCTCCTCCTCCTCCTCCTCCTCCTCCTCCTGCTCCTGCTCCTCCTCCTGCTCCTCCTCCTCCTCCTTCTCCTCCTCCTCCTCCTCCTCCTCCCTCTCCTCTTCCTCCCCCAGGCCTCCCCTGAGATTTTCGGAATAGGGAGCAACGGCATGACCGTTTTGAAGATCGCTCGAGGTCTTCGGTCTACAAAGGTAGACAAAGAGAAGAGCTGTTTGGAAATCTTAAGAGCAATTCTGAAGGGTCCGCGTGGAGTTCTTGGATCTGCGCTGGAGCGCCCTGGCCTCCCACATGGGGTCCGGGCAGATGGGTTCTCAGGATCGCGCCGCATCGGCGATCAATCGGCAATGCGGCTCGATGTGGAGCCAGAGTTTCCCCACGCCGACGTCGCCGAGGCATCGCCGATGCATCGCCGATGCGGCACGATCCTCTGACCCCATCTGCTCCGACACCAGTTAGGCGGGCTTGTGGACAACGACATAAACGTCAACTTTCGGAGATCCGCGCGGATTTCTTGGATCTGCGCTGGAGCGCCATGGCGGCGCCTCTGGCGCCGCCCCTGGCGCGTTCCGCGCGCCAGGCATGGGGGTTCCAGCTCAGATGCAAGAAATCCGCGCGGACCGCCGCAAGTTTATGTTTCAGACTTTCTGTTGTTTCTCTAATCTGGGCGTTGCATTGGTTTCGCGACGGGCGTCTTCGCCCCGTCTCCGGTCCCCGGGACCCTCACAGATCGATGCGGTCCGACAAAGGATGCAGGAATATGGGGTCGGGGGCTCCGTTTGTGATTTTGCTGCGACGTTGCAAGTTGTTCGCAACGTCGCATCTCGGGGCCCCTCGCGCCGCGACAAAGATCATGACGCTTGATTTTTTGTTTTGGGGGGGGTCGTTTGTTTGGCCCATGGGGTGCCATCGCGGGGCCGAGAGGGGGCCAGAGAAGGGTCTGGGAGGAGATCAGGCCGCGCTGGGGGGGGATCCAGACCTCTTGGGGATCCATGTCGTGAGCAAGATGATGCACGGCGTCGGGGGTCCGAGGAGGGGGCGGGGTAAAGGGAAGAACAAGCACTCGGACCCCGATAACTGGGGTTTACTAGACGGCTCTGGGCGTTTCCTGAACAGCCCTGCCCTGTTCGATTCCTTCCTTGGGTGCGCTTGCTGAACCGCTTCTCTTTGTTCTGGGGGGGGATGTTCTGCTTTCCAGGGGTACGTGTAGCATGTCCGTCTACAGGAGGGAAATCCAAGGATTGTTCAACATAATATGGTGACGATGGCTCGTGTTCTGTTTGTTGACCATTGTTTATAATTGTTTGACTACTCTGTTATTTTTCTTACAGAAATCGCCGGTATGAGGAAGTGCCCGACCGAACGCTAGCCCGGGTCGGCCAGGTCCGCGTCGCGAGCCCAGGCTGGCCACGAGGTGGGCCCCACACCCAAGGTGTCTAGGCCTCCCAGATGGGGTCGGAGTAGATGGGGTCGGAGAATCGCGCCGCATCGCCGACGCATCGACAATGCGGCTCGATGTGCAGCCCGATGTGCTTCACGTCGACGTCGCTGTTGCATCGCCGACGTCGGCGATGCACCGCCAGCTTCGCCGATGCTTCGCCGATGCATCGCCGATGCATCGCCGATGCATCGCCGATGCATCGGCGATGTATCGGCGATGCGGCGTGATCCTCCGACCCAGACCCCATCTCCGAGGCCTCTAGGGTGAGAGGTCGGGCCTGGTCGGCTCCAGGGGCTCCCCAGCCTGGGGCAGCCGGCAGGGGTCGCAGGGGATTCG